GGGGAGGTGTCATGGAGTCCTAGAGAAATTGAGCAAATTGGCACGTTGATTTTCTATGAATTTTATAGATTTTAGTCCCTTTTGACATTGACAATTGGACTTGGAAATAAATGGGTATATTGTAGCGAAGAAGAAGGTGAAGAAGACATGCCCCCCCCTTCCGTATCAGACCTCTCACAGGTGATCTGTAAAAGAGTTGGCTGGATCCTTAGATCCAAAGGACAGGGTTAAACTCACTCTCTAATCAGTGGCGTATTGGGGGTTGCTGGGGCCCAGGGCAGGCAAGCCACTGACACCACCAGAATGCCCTCCCCAGCGGAGCCAAGCAGGGCTGTGCTGCGCCAGGGCGGGGATCCCCACCGAAGCTGGTGCCTCCATGGCGGCACCTGGTTGTGCCCCCTCATAATTATGCACCTGGGGCCACAGTCCCCCCTCCGCTGCCGCCCCACGCTACACCACTGTCTCTAGCGAAAGAGAGAGCCCCCCAGTAGAGTTTTAAGGTCACAAAAGCAAGCAGCAGTATAGCGTGGGGATTTGGGCTGTTAGAACTTTTAAATCCAGGCATCCCCCCCCACCCCAGCTATGCACAATCGAAATAATTAAATTCTGTTCAAACCCAGAAGTGGCATAAGAGTCCTTGCGGCTCACATTTGAATTCTTTAAGGCCTCTTGGGTGGATGGCATCTGGACCCAGCAATCTGTCAAGTTTTTATTTCATCTCCCAAGCCTCGAACTTGACAGTGCCGGATTTACATATAAGCTAAACAAGCCATAGCTTAGGGCCCCACTCTCTTGGGGCCCCCAAAAAAAATTAAAGGAAAAAACACACCTGGATGTACACTAATAAAATACATATTTTGTTACAGTGGTACCTCGGGTTAAGTACTTAATTCGTTCCGGAGGTCTGTTCTTAACCTGAAACTGTTCTTAACCTGAAGCACCACTTTAGCTAATGGGGCCTCCTGCTGCCGCCGCACCGCCGAAACCCGATTTCTGTTCTTATCCTGAAGCAAAGTTCTTAACCTGAAGCACTATTTCTGGGTTAGCGGAGTCTGTAACCTGAAGCGTATGTAAACCGAGATACCACTGTATGTGCAAATGGCTTTAGATACCTATTAGGTCCATAAATTACCATATAGCATATATTCAACACATAAAACAGTGACAATTTGTTGTTGACAAAGGACAGCTGGACATATAAAGGGCCCCATTACCTTCAGTAGCTTAGGGCCTCGTCAAACCTAAATCCGGCCCTGGAACGTGACCTCGTACCAACGCTATTTGCCTCACTCTGTTTTCCCCTGGACCCCAGGGTGGGTTGCAGCAATAAAGCGCACAACAATCAATAGCCCCAAATTAAAATAAATTGGACAATAGCACCATTAGAGGTGCAATTCAGTGCAGCTATGGATTAAAGATGCAATATACTCATGAGTATTCGCATTGACTCTGGCCAGTTTTAATGGCTCCATCTGGGCAGTGTTAGAGAACAACTATCAAGATGATTTGCAAACTTCCTTATGCGTCCAGCGCCCACCTGAAATGGCATCTGGTTTCCGGATGTGCACTATTTGAGCACCCCCACGCATGCCTTTGCTCTGGTCAGCCCCTGCTCTAATCAACCACCCCATTTCAGAAGACCCTGTTTTTCATCAAACGTCCTGTTTGCCCCTAAATCCAGGTGGACGTTACACAAAGCACCTGGCTGACTATTAATAAACGGCCCTGCTGTGTCTCAGTGCTGCGAGAAAATGTCAAAGCTTCAAGCCCATCCTTCACATTACAGCAGGAAAAGGGGGCACTTAAATATTCCCAAGCATACCTTGTAGAATTAAAGGGAGGCTCATTGCCCTGATTTAATTTAAAACATCAGTGCATTCTTCAGATGTACAGGGCTTATCTGACATCTACCAACCAAAGCCATTTATAACCATTATAAATATAACTGGGATGGGATGAGCGCGGTTTGGGGGGAGACAACAAAGGACATCTGTAAGGTTGGTTGCTTTTTTAAATGAAAAGAACTCCATAATTCACTGCTTGTTCATTCATTGCATTATATTTCATGCCATTTAACTAGGCAGATCTAAAAGCCTGGGATTGAAATGGAGATCTTGTGGATTCGTCCGTTCCACCGCCTGCCCCAGTTTTTGTTTTCAGTTTGTAACCATGCTATGTAAACTGCATTTTGCATTAATTAGATGTTGTTATTGCTGCTAACTGTTAAGTCATGGGTGAACATATCAGGCGACACAGTGATTCTTCAAACAGCTCTTGTTTATTCACAGGCCAGAACAGAACTGAACTGAAGGGTTCAGCCAACCTGCTTATATAGAGCTCCTCTACAACGCAACAGTAACCACTTTCTGTAACTATCCAATCACTAAACGTCACTTTCAATCCCTTATTTGCATATGTGGACCTGAGTGAAAACTATCTACAGTATCCCCCTGCTGGCCCAGGGTGAGAACTTCAGTACATAACACTAACCATTTTTGGTTCCTATCAAATCAGCTTCAAATCTGACTGGCTTCCAAGTTATCACATTTAGGATTAGGGATAAAGACTTTGGGTAGTATTTAAGTTTACTCAAGGTAGGTCCAAAGAAAATAATGATCAGGACTAAGTTAGGTCGATTAATTTCAGTGGGTCTACTCTGAGTCAAAGTGAGTCAAATTCCACCTTGCATTCTGATTTTACAGTAGCCATTTTGGAACAAAGACGGCAACATGAAACTGCTGAATTGCACATCCATCAAGGGCTTTTTTTTAGTCAGGACTCACCGAAACTCGGTCCTGGCACCTCTCAGGAAAGTGGCATTGCCATTATAAGAGAACAAGGGAGGCGTTCATGGCAAAAATTAGCACTGATCAGGACTAATGGTGTTGCTTTTTTATTGCACTACATGTTTAATTGGCTTACCAATGCCAAGATGTCTGTGGTATCAAGCATAAGTGTGTCTGTGTGAATAGCTATCGTCTGTGCATTTCTACATTTAATTTCCTTCTGGCCACAAACCACCCCACTCCTTGCTGCCCCTACCATATGTATATACTGTATACCTCAGGAGAACGACTTCAAGCATCTGATTAACTGGATTATAATATAGAAAGCTACTGCAAGGTTGTATCCTTAGGCAAGTATGCCTGATATCACATCCTCAAAGTATCCTTTTACTTTCCAGGGACAGTCTTGGATTTACAGAAGCTGTCCCGGTTTCTGATTTCGTCTCGGAATGTCCTGCTTTTCCTTAGGATGTCCCTATTGTAATTGGAGAAATGTTGGACGGTATGGAGTTATGCGACACCCAAGCCAAGGAGTTAAGTAACTATACAACCTTCAGAAGAAATCAGAAGGCAGCCCTGTATAGGGAAGTTTTTAAATGTCAGCTGGGTGGGGTATAATAAATAAATAATAAAACTATTATTATGGAATAGGATGCCCCTATTTTCAGAGAAATGTGATATTGTAGGCCAGGGCTGCCAACTTTTGAAGGTGTCCCTTTGGGTGTTCGTCTAACAGTACTTAAAAACCTGCTAATGCATTTTTATTATACTTTGTTTGCAAAAGAGCAAAAGGAAACAATCTCAACCACAAACATTAAGGGGGGGATTTATTTAGTGAACAGCATTAAATGACCAATAAAACTACATTCACAAAACACTTTCATTATACATTGTACTCCTGAAGGAGTACAGTGGTGCCTCGCAAGATGAAAAGAATCCGTTCTGTGATTCTCTTCGTCTAGCGGTTTTTTCGTCATGCGAAGCAAGCCCATTGAAGGATTAGCGCTATTAGCGCTATTAGTGGCTTTTAGCGGCTTATCTGCTGATCGGATCAGCTGATAAGCGGCTTAGCGGCTTAGAAAAAGGGGGAGGGGAAAAAACCAGCAGGAACTCGCAAGACATTGTCGTCTTGCGAAGCAAGCCCATAGGAAATTCGTTTTGCGAAGCACCTCCAAAACGGAAAACTCTTTTGTCTAGCGAGTTTTCCGTCTTGTGAGGCATTCGTCTTGCGGGGCACCACTGTATCTCCATTGCTGTCATCCAGCCTGGACACCGAGGTCCAGCTCCGAGGGCCTTCTGGCGGAAGTGAGATTACAGGGAATCAGGCAGAGGACCTTCTTGGTGGTGGCACCCAGTCCCTTCAGATGTCAAGGAGATAAAGAACTACACAACTTTTAGAAGACATCTGAAGGCAGCCCTGTATAGGGAAGTTTGTAATCTTTTATTGTTTCTGTATATGCTGGAAGCCCCCTAGAGCAGGTGGCAACCCAGTGAGATGGGTGGGGTGCAAATAATAAAGTAGTTGTTGTTGTAGTTGTTGTTGTTGTTGTTGTTGTTGTTGTTATTATTATTATTATTATTATTATTATTATTATTATTATTATTTTATATAGGTGTCTCTTTTAGGGAAGCTTTTAATGTTTGATGCATTACTGTATTTCAATATTTTGTTGGAAGCCGCCCAGAGTGGCTGGGGAAGCCCAGCCAGATGGGCAGGGTATAAATAATAATAAATAATAATAATAATAATAATAATAATAATAATAATAATAATAATAATAATAATAATATTCAACCAGGCATTTTAAATGTGATTGTGTGAAGCCAGGAGCGGGGTTATCAGTCTGTTTCTGTTTTATTATGCATTTTGTGTTCTCATTTTGTAATTTTACATGAACTGCCCTGTAATCGTCAGGTGAAGGACTGTACAGTATACATCAACAGGACTATAATATATATCAATAGGACTGCAATAAATCAACCAATAGTAAGAAAAGAAAAGGGACAAAGCTTCCCAACGCAGCCCTAATCGCGCCTGCCTTCTCCTCTGAATCAACAGGACTGAGGAGAAGAAGCGGGCGGGAAGCCACTTTGGTTCATTCTCGCGGGATTTCCCAGCTCTCGCGTGGCGCGGCGGCTTCTCGGCCCGCTCTCGCCAAGCTCGCGAAATCTCGCGAGGCGTCGGCCGGGTCCTAAGCAGCCGCGTCGCCGCTGTCGTCAAGCGGGCCATGGGGAGCGGGGCGGCGGCGGCGGCGGCGGGCGCCTGGGCCGGCGAGGGGCCCCCTTGAGCCCCGGCGAGTCCAGCCCGCGTCCTTGGCGAGATGGAGGCGAAGCGGAAAGAGCCGCGGAAGGCGCTGAGGATCAAAGTGATCTCCATGGGCAACGCGGAGGTGGGCAAGGTAAGAGCGGGGAGGAAGGCGCCTTATTGGCTCGCGGGACGGGGAGTGACAAGGCGCGCAGCCAGTCAGTCGCCCCCCCGGGCCGTTTTGACCCTTATGGCAGTTGGGCGTTAGCGTGGGATGGGGCGCTGATTCTTTGGCCAAGCGCAAAGGCTTCTGGGAGGGCAGGAGCAATCTTTATCTGTAATCCTTATCTGTTGAGTTATATTTGCATATATGTATATTGCAGGCATCCCCAAACTCTGCCCTCCAGATGTTTTTTGGGACTACAACTCCCATCATCCCTAGCATACAGGACCAGTGGTCAGGGATGATGGGAGCTGTAGTCCCCAAAAAACTGGAGGGTCGAGTTTGGGGGTGCCTGGTATAGTGTGTGTGTGTGTGTAGGTGTGTGTGGTTGTTGTTTAGTCGTGTCCGCCTCTTTGTGACCCCCTGGACCAGAGCACGCCAGGCACTCCTGTCTTCCACTGCCTCCCGCAGTTTGGTCAAACTCATGCTAGTAGCTTCGAGAACACTGTCCCACCATCTCGTCCTCTGCCGTCCCCTTCTCCTTGTGCCCTCCATCTTTCCCAACATCAGGCTCTTTTCCAGGGAGTCTTCTCTTCTCATGAGGTGGCCAAAGTCTTGGAGCCTCAGCTTCACGGTCTGTCCTTCCAGTGAGCACTCAGGGCTGATTTCCTTCAGAATGGAGAGGTTTGATCTTCTTGCAGTCCATGGGACTCTCAAGAGTCTCCTCCAGCCCCACAATTCAAAAGCATCAATTCTTCGGCGATCAGCCTTCTTTATGGTCCAGCTCTCACTTCCATACATCACTACTGGGAAAACCATAGCTTTAACTATATGGACCTTTGTTGGCAAGGTGATGTCTCTGCTCTGACAAGGTTTGTCATTGCTTTTCTCCCAAGAAGCAGGCGTCTTTTAATTTCGTGACTGCTGTCACCATCTGCAGTGATCATGGAGCCCAAGAAAGTAAAATCTCACTGCCTCCATTTCTTTCCCTTCTATTTGCCAGGAGTTGATGGGCCCAGTGGCCATGATCTCCGTTTTTTTGATGTTGAGCTTCAGACCATATTTTGTGCTTTCCTTTTTACCCTCATTAAAAGGTTCTTTAATTCCTCCTCACTTTCTGCCATTAAGGTTGTTGTGTGTGTGTGTGTGTGTGTGTGTGTGTGTGTATAACTCAAATATACACATAAATATATATATATGCTAATGTTTATATGCTGACTTTCCTCCAAGGGACTCAATTTAGGCAGCATAACGTGGTTCTGATTACCGCCCACGCTCACAACAACCGTGCGAGGTAGATTAGGTGAGAGGGGCGTGTGGAGGACCCGTTTCCCACTTTGCTTTTTGTGCACCGTTTTATCCAACCAGGACACACACACATCGTTATGTTTTCTCATTTCATTTGAAAATAATTACAGGACCACCCATTCCTCTTTGAGTTGGTTTTAGCTGAGTGCCGCTGGGGAATGGAATCCATTGGATTTCATCCACAAACAGTAGAAATATAATAGGTCACCCATTTCCCCTCTACAAACACTGACATTTAACGAGTTTGGGAAGTTTTGCTTCCATTGTTGTTGTTGATAATGATAATTTCAGGGGCAGACCCCTGTTTCTTGTTTTTGTTTTGCCTACTAAGTTAATGCAGAGTGATTGCAGCATGTTTAAACAGTAATACAGTAACTTGGGAACTTATCCTCTCAGTTTTTTTGGAAAATGTAAATTGTAGGTGTTTTAAAATAGAAAACATATATTCTAAACCATTCATATCATGACTTATTAAAGCAAGATATGTTTGACTTTTTGCCTGCTCGTATAGCCTCTTTGCTCCTTCCTTTTACTGCAATTCATAACCAAATTAGGAAGCTTATAATTAGCCACAGTTTACTGGTTCAGATGAAATAGGAAACTATGGTTAATTAGAAGCTTCCTGGTTTAATCAAACTGAAGTGTGGTTGTTTCAACTGCCCTTTTGCTTTTTAAGTTGAAAACAAAATTTAAAATAGCTTATGTTGAATCAAATTTGCCAGTCATGCCAGTCATGCACATACACATACAGATATGTGTTTTAAAAAGACGTGCTTTGCACTTAACCTGGCGAAATACGGAATACAGTGGGTTGAATAGACAGCTCTGCCAATTGCGTAACAATCTCCATTCTTTTGCATTTCAGAGCTGCATTATAAAGCGATACTGTGAGAAGAGGTTTGTGCCCAAGTACCTGGCAACAATTGGCATCGATTATGGTGTCACCAAGTGAGTAGCCTGCTTTCACAATAGAGAACACTTGACACAGCAGATCCTGAAACTAAGAACCAAGGCATTGTGTGTGTGAAACAGAAAGGCGGGAAATCATGCTTTGATTTTTCACTTACTTCAATCATTCAACATTTTGTTGCTATGATATTAATGGAAATTGCTACTGGGAAACTACAGGTGTATGTGGGCATCTCGTTGTGTGTTATATTTTGCATGCAAGTGGGGCACATCCCAGTGGAGCAGATTTTACATCTCTGATCAATCCCTTATTAGCTAGTAAAATCCTCATTGAAAGGAGAGTACAGGTGGCAAGCATTTTGCACGGGGGTTCCATTCCTGCTCCCTGGACATGTTGACAGAGTGCACGTATCTCCTAGTATTTTTATCTCCTAGTATTTTTATTAGCCATAATAGCACTCGTTACAGCCAACACCCTGCCTCGTTATATTCCGCCCCCATTCTGCCCTCTTCTTGGTTATATTCCTGCCTCGTTATATTCCGCCCCCATTCTGCCCTCTTCTTGGTCCTAAAGGACCTGTGCGTCGGTGACTGCACGTCAATTGGGTGTGCCTAAAATGGTCATCGGGATGTGGGTGGCGCTGTGGGGGATGTGGGTGGCGCTGTGGGTTAAACCACAGAGCCTAGGACTTGCTGATCAGAAGGTTGGCGGTTCGAATCACCGTGACGGGGTGAGCTCCCCTTTTTCAGTCCCTGCTCCTGCCAGTTCGAAAGCACTTCAAAGTGCAAGTAGATAAATAGGTACCGCTTCGGAGGGAAGGTAAACGGCGTTTCCGTGCGCTGCTCTGGTTTGCCAGAAGCGGCTTAGTCATGCTGGCCACATGACCCGGAAGCTGTACACCGGCTTCCTCGGCCAATAAAGCGAGATGAGCGCCGCAACCCCAGAGTCGGCCATGAGTGGACCTAATGGTCAGGGGTCCCTTTACCTTAAAATGGTCATCACTTGTATGTAATCTGGATGCCTGTGGGTCACCCTTCACTGGTCATTTATCCAGTTACAATTTTTCTTTGCAGATTAGCCCAGCAGCGTTTTACTGAGCCCTAAATGATCACACCAAAATTCATCTGTGCTCAACAGTCGCGTTGCGATGCTTGCCTAATACCCGTGTTGTAGAAAAGTTGAACTTGGTCTGGGAAAGAAGGGTCTCTGGAGTGTGTGCACTTGCCCCTTATGGCTGTGTTCCTCTTTATTTCAGAGTGCAGGTTCGGGATCGGGAAATCAAAGTGAATATTTTTGACATGGCTGGACACCCCTTCTTCTATGAGGTAAGCGAGGTGGCAGCTTTCTGGCCATTAGTTTAGGACATAAATCCATAGACTTCTGGTCCTGGCAAGCTAAATTGCTCCATGGTGAAAAATGTGACCCAATTCATACCCTCACATGAGCTGGAGGGCTTTGACTAATTTGCATTTAACATTTATAGATTGTCTGGGCATTTTGGCTTATGGTCATTGTAACTGTAGGATATTTATTTTAAGTCTTAGTAACTATATGAGAGCTGAAAAGTAACAAATTTGTACATAGCCATAATGGCCTGTCCTGATGCAGTTAATCTGCTAAGATTGCTGGTCAGTCCAACAGCAGCTCCTTTCTGCCTGCACAGATGATGTCAGATCAATTGAAAAGTGGCACACATGTAAAGGGAAACTGATCCAGAGATTCCAAGCCATTCTCTTTCCATTCTCTTTCTTTTCCCTCTTGCTCCCAAATATCCAGTTGTTTGTTTGTTTGTGTGCTCTGTTAGGTACGCAATGAGTTTTACAAGGACACGCAGGGCGTAATCCTGGTGTATGATGTTGGGCTGAAGGAGTCATTTGATGCCCTCGACTCGTGGCTCGCGGAGATGAAACAGGAACTTGGACCACACGGAAACATGGAGAATATTGTCTTTGTAGTTTGTGCCAACAAGGTAACCATTCCCAAGAGGAGGCTAAGGTGTAGAAAATCTTGCTTGTAACCCTGGGCTCTTGCAGAGGCTGCCCCCACTCACAAACCAGAGAACAGTATGTAGTTTGAAGACTTTACCAGTGTGAATTGCTGGATATTAAAAAGGTTGGGTAAAGTCATGGAGGCTAGGTCAGTAGCTGTGAGCCAGGATCATGCTTCCTCCCACCTACTTGTGTTTCAGGTTGATTGTACCAAGCACCGTTCTGTGGACGAAAGTGAGGGGCGGCTGTGGGCAGAGAGCAGAGGCTTCCTTTATTTTGAGACTTCTGCTCAGACTGGAGAAGGAATCAACGAGATGTTCCAGGTAAAACCAACTATGTCAAACCGAGAAGCCCTCATCCAGCCCTTTTCCTGGGCTTCCAATGGTCTTTGCTCTGTAAGGTTTCCAATAAATGCAACATATGAAATAAATATCATTTTGTAAAAGAATTATATCAAGAGAGTTGCCCTTGAAAGTGAAGTTGTATTGTTCAGTTTCTGTTAATTGATTCTCATGGGAAACTTACAGATTCTGGCTTCGCACAATTAACTCAAGGCAGTGTCAATTTACTCTTGGCAGAAAGCCCAGGTCTGCTTGACCTAGAAACTACTTACTCTGATTGGTTAACGACCAGCACTCAACTCTGTTATCTAGGGATTGCTAGCACAGTTTGGTGTGAGGTGTGTTAGGAGTTGGAGTAGAAGTGCTGTGTATGGTTTTGAGAGAGAGAGAGAAAGAGAGGATTTATTTTGCTTTTATTTGTATGCAGAAACTCTGCTGGTTTTATTTTTTCCTTTTAATAAATCGTGTAAATAGTTATTCTGAGTCTAGCTGACTAGTCATTACCGCCGCAACTAGCTTCCTCGCTGTGCAGGAAAACTCTGCTACGTTTGGGCTAAAGCCAATAGGGCTATGCCTGACACTTCAAAGTTCCATGATGTATGCCCCAAAGAATTTGTTTGGCTTATTCCTGCATTGCAGGGCTTGGGCTAAATGACCCTCAGGGTCCCTTCCAGCTCTACATTTCTTTGAGTCTGATCACAGTGCACCTGCTGAGCACATCACCACTTTTTCATTTTTAGAGCTGCTTCTGCAATTTTCCTTCTCTGGGGATTCACACCCTACACACCCACTTTCCTTCTCTCAAATATATTTTCCCTGTCCCATGTCAAAATGCAGGGAGTGACTTAATTGCTTGAATTCCATTTTGTTGCCATCTGTTTTCAATGACTTTCAAATGAGCAGCCCTTCGCTTTTAAATAAATAAAACAATAGGAGCTAGTACTACAAGAGACTGGCCCTGCTGACTGTGGAAGGCCTTGTGGATTTGGAGTCAAGACAGACAAGGAACAGTGGTCTGACAGATTATAGGTGAAGACAACCCCTTTTGACTGTGGGGTGGCTAAGTGGCCATTGATGTGGGGGAACTGAAAACCCCAAAGAATGGTCTGAAGGTCACTGCAACTCCCAGAGAGCCATGCAGTGGCTGTTCTGACACCTTCAGATAAAAAAGGAACTGGCTGAGGAAGAGGCAGCAGCAGAGATGAGAGGGTGGCGGGTGGTAGGTTTAAGAGTCTTGGTCTTCCCCACAAAATCTATAGCTATTCTCCCTTTTTCAGTTTTCTCAATATGAGGTAGCAGAAGGAACTGAGGTTTGGTCCCATTAATGAAATAGGGATTGTCAAGCTACGGGCACATACAAAACTTTGCTACCTGTTCCTTCTGTGTGCTTGTAGACTTTCTACTCTGCCATCGTTGATTTGTGCGACAATGGGGGAAAGCGGCCCATGGCCAGCATGAGCGTCAGTTTCACCAAGGAGCAAGCGGACACCATCCGAAGAATCCGCAGCAGCAAGGACAGCTGGGACATGCTGGGTGTCAAGCCAGGGGCCACCAGGTAATGGAGGCAATCCCTGCTGGTGTAATAATAATCAATTTTATTTATACCCCACCCTCCCCAGCCAAGACCGGGCTCAGGGCGGCTAACACCAGATATAAAAACAATTAAAATACAACTTAAAAACAAGGTTAAAATACAACATTAAGATGCAGCCTCATTTCAGTAGAAACTCAAATCAAAAACTTTTTAGGGATGAAAACGTCAAATCTTCATCCAGACTTTTCCTACGTGGGCCAGAAAAAAGCCAGGGAAGTCCCCAAATAGGAGTTCCATCACAGAAGGAGAAAGGAAAAAAGAAAGAGGGGGAGGGGATCAAGTTGATTTCAAGCGAAAGGCCAGGCGGAACAACTCTGTCTTACAGGCCCTGCGGAAAGAAATCAGATCCTGCAGGGCCCTGGTCTCATGAGACAGCATTCCACCAGGCCGGAGCCAGTGTTGAAAAGGCCCTGGCTCCGGTTGAAGCTAATCTAACTTCCTTAGGGCCCAGGACCTCTAGGGTGTTGCTATTTATGGACCTTAAGGTCCTCCACGGGGCATACTGGGAGAGGTGGTCCCGTAGGTATGAGGGTCCTAGGCCGTGAAGGGCTTTAAAGGTCAAGACCAGCACCTTAAATCTGCCCCTGTACTCCACCGGGAGCCAGTGCAGCTGGAAAAGCACTGGGTGAATATGCACCCATGGCAGGGACCCCGTGAGGAGCCTTGCTGCAGCATTCTGCACCCGCTGGAATTTCTGTAGAAGCCAGCAAGGGAGAATTTGGAAGACAGAGAATGGGAAGGGGCCCTTGGGCGAAGCTATAACTTTGGGAGCTTATTACGCTTGTGCTTGTGGTGGCCACTCTTAATGAATGCCTGTCTTGCCCTCCAGGGATGAGGTGAACAAGGCCTACCGGAAGCTGGCGGTGCTTCTCCACCCGGATAAGTGCATGGCTCCTGGCAGCGAGGACGCCTTCAAAGCTGTGGTCAATGCACGGACTGCCTTGCTTAAAAACATCAAGTGAGAAAGGGAGGAAGCAGCTTCTCCCAAGGACAGCTGATCCCTTTTGAGAGGGCTGCCCTTCTCCAGTCCAAATGAGAGACCTCAAGCGTTGCCTTTGAGCAAGGATGGTAGGAGCAAGAACCAGAGGGAACCACTACAGTTTCCCTTCATGCACCTCAACCATCCAGAACTGTCTCCTGCACTGTTGCAACCAGCTCGTCCATCTGTGGTGGATTGCCAAATCCATCTGAATGCATCCGTAGCTGTACTTTCCTCTGCAGGGAAGCTGGCTTTTGATTGAGTTGACTCTAAAAAATATTTATTCTTTGTTTAAAGAGCTGCTCCTCTGTACTTTGTTATCCCAAACTTGGTGCTTTTAAGTCCAGCCTTTTCTCCTCCTCACCCTATGCCTGGCAATGTATCCTGTTCCTTTCGAATGGTCCTCAGTAAGTGAGCTGTGGTTCCCTGCCCTCCCTTGCCCATGGTCATAGCTGTATAAGGTGGTCACCTCACATAGCATCTAGCCACTCAGACTGGAGCACAGGGAGGAGTGGCTTAGGGTGGGCTGCCCCATCCATGCTATCTAGAACACCTCAAAAACATAACTAGAAGTGGAGGAGCAAAGAGGATGGAGATAGGATCATCCCCTTTTGCTCATGGGCCTCTGTTCATTTCCCTTCTTCCAGTCTCCTAAGGCAATGTGTTTGTCTGACAGGGAAGATTAACTGGAAAATGTGCTTGTGAGGGACAGGGGATAGCAGGATTCACTCTGAGGCTCTGTGGTTTCCATCTTTTGCATCCCTTTGCCTGACTACTCATAAAGTGACATTTGCACCTACAGGTGTCACACGAGGCCACTTTTCAGAAAATTATCTAGGGAGCACCGAAATGTTCCAACCGGGAAAGACTCTGAGATTATCTCTCTACAGCCCTGCTTCCTGGAGTGTCAACCATGGGAAAAGGAAGCTTTCTCATGGATTACCTTTGGGTCAGAGTTGGAGCTGAGCGAGAACTGCAGGACTGTACCGCTTGGCATTTCTTGCCTGCCTTCAGTGCAAACTGTTTAGCATTTGATCAGATAATGGAGGGAGAGATTTGCACACACACACCCCCAGCCAAAAATGATTCCCTCCCCTGCAATGTTTGTATAGATATATATTGATTCACATGTGCACTTTAAGTCTTGGGCAATGGTTTTCAGCTTGCAGACTTGTATGAACCCCACTGTAGTTTCTTCCCCTCCAATTGCCCATGAAGCTCAGTCTTAACAACCATTGTAAATGCCTTGTGATATAAATTCCCTGTGAACTTAAGGTTTTGCTGTATACCCTTGCGATTGCACTTTCCTGCCTTTGTTTTCTGCCCACGGTGTTGCGTGACTGAGATCTGCCTTCATTCCCCCTGCCATTTTGTTCTCCTGTTGAGCTTTTGACCTTGTGAACTCCCATCTCCAGGGCAGGCTTTTCTACATGTGGAAGGTACTGCAAGCCCTCAGCAGTTGGTGTGGTCCCCAACAAAGATGGCTGTGCAAACCAGAGCAGGCTTGGCACCACAGGAAGCCGCCTTGTACTCAGTCAGACCGTCGGCCCAGCCAGCTCAGTGTTGGCCACATTCAGTAGCAGCTGCTCTCCAGGGTTTCAGACAAGGGGCATTCCCTTCATTACCTAGAAATGCCACGGATTGAACCTGTGATCATTCAGCATGCCAAGCAAGTGTTCTGCCACGAGCTATGTCCCTTTCCCTCATCAGTCTGCTGTAAGTGCAGGGCTGCCCCACAGAAAAAGGGTACCTTTGTAGATCTATACAAAGATCTATATCGTTTATTTCTACTTCAGGTCTGGCTATTGGGGCAGCCCAGCAGGCATGAAACTAAACCAGTGTGGAGGTGGGGGAAATCCAACGTAATCTTTCCTAATATGAATTATATTTATCTTTTTTCTCCTTTCTAAGGCATTTTTTTTTTACCCCTTTGGTTTCATTCTTGCATCATCATCCCCCCCCCTTCATTTTGGGTGCAGAGCCTTTACGTGTTCGTTTAACAAGGCTATTGAAGCTGCAAGCAGCTGTCCCATCACAAGGAAAGGCTTTGTCGGGAGGTCTTGCTCTGTAACGAAACTGTTCTGCTAAGGTGGCAAAATCCCATCCCATCAGAACCAGAGTGCAACATGAAGAGATCAGAGCACCCAATAATGCCACTGTGATTTATCCGGGTCAGATCCTGCCCCTGAGAATGGGCAGCAGCTTCCTGTACTTTTGATGTGATGCTGGCATGCTAAGCGGGGCATATTGGGAGGTACCCTGTTTGCTAGTCAAGGCATTATTTATGGGATGCTTGTATGGTTCAACTTTGCATGATCTCTGTTGAATCCTCACTTGCGCAGCCTCTTTGGATGAGCAGGGAAATAGAATAAGCCTGGGACATGGAGCAAATGTGTGCTCCCTCTTTGCATCTGCCCGAGAACCTTCCAGCGATCATGACCTTGTGACCGATTTCTCTGTAAAATTCCCTCCCAGTGCAGGCTTTTCTTCTGAAAGTGGAAAAAGGTAAATGCAGGGTGACTTTAACTCCAAGCCATAAAGGCAGGGATCCCTTTCAAAGCATTTCCTGCTTTTCAGAAACAGTTCCTACTCTCCACCCACCCCATTCTCAGCCTGCCTTGTGTGATAAACGGATTTGAATGCACTGTATTTATTTGGTATTTACTTACACTCAACCTCTCTCACCATACATCCTAAGGTGTGGATCAGCTTACTGTGAGCTGACTGAAGATGTTGGAACGCCAGACACCTGCATGTTCTTGCATAGAAAGCGTTTCTTCTTTTGAAGTTTATGTATTATTTTTTTACCAAATTAAATTGGATTTAAAACACACTTGATGCTTTTGTTATCGAACATGTGCATTACTGCCTTTTTGAGACCCTTGTATGATGGAAGAGGTACAAAAGCAGCTTGATTGGGGTTTGGCGAAGTGCTGTTGAGCCGGTCCAGTTTGGTAAATTGGTCTGGTTGGATTTAGACATTTGCAGATTCAACCCCTAAGGTAAAGGTACCCCTGCCTGAAGGCCAGTCGTGTCCGACTCTAGGGTTGTGCGCCCATCTCACTTAAGAGGCCGGGGGCCAGCGCTGTCTAGAGACACTTCCGGGTCACCAGTGCAGCACACAGAAACGCCGTTTACCTTCCCGCCAGAGTGGTACCTATTTATCTACTTGCACTTAAGGGTGCTTTCGAACTGCTAGGTGGCAGGAGCTGGGACCGAAGACGGGAGCTCACCCCGCCGTGGGGATTCGAACCGCCGACCATGCGATCGGCAAGCCCTAGGCGCTGAGGATTTACCCACAGCGCCACCCGCGTCCCAATTCAACCCCTACCTCAGCTCTAATTCATGAGTGGCTCTCTTGCTGGGCACGACAGTCCCAGAGCTTTATTCATGTGACTCTCTGTTACCTGTGAGTGCTGCCCCCATTTTACTTGTACTGAGTTTCAGTTAGTAAGGCCCGAGGATATGGACGCTTGCACACTGGACCCTTGCCCCTCTTAGCTGATAAAAACTAGGAGGAAGGAGACAGCTGGCTGGGCCAGGGAGGTGATTAATGCCTCCTTGCGAGAGGGGTGGTCCCTGACTGCTTGAAAGAGGCAGTGGTAAAACCACTCTTAAGAAACCCACCTGGATTGAGAAAACAACTTTTTTGCCAGTTGAAAAATCTCCCCCTCTTGGACAAGGTTCTTGAGAGAGTGGTCATGGACCAGATCCAGGCACTCTTGGAGGAAACTGATTTTCTAAATCCATTTTGATGAGGGTTTAGGCCCGGTTTGGTGCAAAAACTGTCTTGTTCAACTTGTATGATGGCCTAAGCCAGGAGAGAGACGGGGGTCCATGTATAGCCATTTATAGCCTAACTTCTGTTTTCTAAGCTTTGGTAATCTCTGGTAGATTACTGCAACGTGTTATATGTAGGGCTGCCTCTGAAGATGCTTCAGTTGGTGCAGAATTTGGTGGCCAGGTTGCTCACTGGGGGAATAATAATAATAATTTATTATTTATACCCCGCCCATCTGGCTGGGTTTCTCCAGCCACTCTGGGCGGCTTCCAACAAAATATTAAAATAGTCCTGATATTAAAAGCTTCCCTAAACAGGGCTGCCTTCAGATATCTCCTAAAAGTCTGGTAGTTGTTTTTTCCTTTGACATCTGGTGGGAGGGTGTTCCACAGGATGGGCGCCACTAGACCGTTTGAGCATATGACATTGATTTCAGCCCGAGTACATTGGCTGCCAGTTAGTTTCTGGGCCCAATTCAAAGGGCTGCTTTTGACCTATAAAGCCTAACGTGGCTCAGGCCTGCAATACCTCAAGGACCATATGAAGCAGCCTTGATCCTGCAATTACCCTCTGATTCCCTTCTTCATGTGCCTCTTCCCAAAGAGTGGCAGCATGAGAACGGGCCTTTTCTGCAGTGGCTCCCTTGATTGTGAAACGCTTTCCCCAGAGAGGCTTGCCTGGCTCCTTCCTTACACATCTTTATGCGCCAGGCAAAAAGTTTCCTCTTTAACTCAGCCTTTGGCTGATTAACATTCTTTTAAACGTGTTTGTGGGAGGGGGTTATTGGCTTGTTTTAGTTTTATTTTGTATTCATTGTTATTGCTTTGTAATTTTATGTTGTGAACTACCCTGTGATCTTTGGATGAAGAACAGTATACAGATTATTATCATTATCATTATTCAGGTAAAGCCTAAACTGGAACGTGTCCAGATGAGGGCAACCAAAATGGTCAAAGGCCTGGAAACGATGCCTTATGAGGAACGGCTAAGGGAGCTGGGCATGTTTAGCCTGGAGAAGAGGAGGTTAAGGGGTGATATGATAGCCATGTTCAAATATATAAAAGGAAGTCACATAGAGGAGGGAGAAAGGTTGTTTTCTGCTGCTCCAGAGAAGCGGACACGGAGCAATGGATCCAAACTACAAGAAAGAAGATTCCACCTAAACATTAGGAAGAACTTCCTGACAGTAAGAGCTGTTCGACAGTGGAATTTGCTGCCAAGGGGTGTGGTGGAGTCTCCTTCTTTGGAGGTCTTTAAGCAGAGGCTTGACAACCATATGTCAGGAGTGCTCTGATGGTGTTTCCTGCTTGGCAGGGGGTTGGACTCGATGGCCCTTGTGGTCTCTTCCAACTCTATGATTCTATGATTCTATAAGCTCCCCCCCCCCCATCAGAGAAAGAGGGATAAACCCTGACTTGATAGATTAGCCCCAACGTGATTGGGGAACATGTATCTGCATTGTTCTTGCACCCCTTTATTTCCCATTCTGTAGCTTGGTCTTCGAGCATTGGCTTTGCATGCACAAGGTTCAATCTCTGGTGTCTCCTGGTAGAACTGGGAAAGACTTCTGCCAGAAACACACCAAACTGTTGCCACAAGTCAGTGTGGACAATACTGACCAAGATGGACCAGGATAAGGCAACTTCATGTGCTCTGTGTAACACAGTCACCTGGGAAACAGCACAGCCAGTGACGTCACAGGACCCATGCCCCTCTTCCCCTGCTGGTCGCCCTCTCTTTGTGCTGGGACACCTAAGCTTTCCTTGTAATGGGCATTTCTGTTCAGCCCTGCTGGAGAAGCTACCTGAGTTTTCCTTTAGTGACCACTGGGTGACACTAGAGGCCCATGCTTAAAGTAGATAGAACTCTTAAAAAGTGTATTCTGTGTATATTAAAAAGGTAAAGGGACCCCTGACCGTTAGGTCCAGTTGTGACCGACTCTGGGGTTGCGGCGCTCATCTCGCTTTATTGGGAGTAGCCGCCGGGACCACATAACACCGGTTCTGAGAGATCTGCATTGGCTCCCAGTACGTTTCCGAGCACAATTCAAAGTGTTGGTGCTGACCTTTAAAGCCCTAAACGGCCTCGGTCCAGTATACCTGAAGGGGCGTCTCCACCCCCATCATTCTGCCCGGACGCTGAGGTCCAGCGCCGAGGGCCTTCTGGCGGTTCCCTCATTGCGAGAAGTAAGGTTACAGGGAACCAGGCAGAGGGCCTTCTTGGTAGTGGCGCCTGCCCTGTGGAACGCCCTCCCAGCAGATGTCAAAGCAATAAACAACTATTTTACTTTTAAAAGTCATCTGAAGGCAGCCCTCTTTAGGGAAGTTTTTAATGCTTGATGCTGTACTGTTTTTAATATTCAGTTGGAAGCCGCCCAGAGTGGCTGGGGAAACCCAGCCAGATGGATGGGGTATAAATAATAAATTATTATTATTATTATTATTGGCCGAGGGAGCCAGCGTACAGCTTCATGTGGCCAGAATGACTAAGCCGCTTCTGGCGAAACCACAGCAGCGCACAGAAACGCCGTTTACCTTCCCGCTGGAGCAGTACCTATTTATCTACTTGCCCCCCTTTTTTTTTTGCTCAAAGGATGCTCCTGCCTCCCTTCACAGACTTATCTAATCCACTAGACTTCTCTTTTTGCAAAATTCAAAGGGAGGTTTGCAGAGTTCCGTTGTAAGATGCAGTTGGAATAGGCCCTGGAGCCAGCACACCTTCCGAAGGCAAATTCTGCCTCTCGTCTCTACTCCAAGCGATACTTTCAGGGGGCAAATAGGTGGCGGAGTTGGGCTGAGGTTAGAACTTAAAGAAAAGGCTATTGTGCAGGTGTCTGGATTGGGCTTGGAGAATATACAGCATAGGCCTGTTTCCTTGTCAGCATTCCCCTTGTTGACAGAGACCCTTTTTCTACCCAGTGCTCTCCCCATTCAATGACAATATTAGGCTATGTACATGCTATACCAGGGGTCAGCAAGGTTTATCTTGCCTGGGCCAGATTGGTCCCGCCGAGATCCCTCTGTGGGCTGCATTGCGCGTGCGCCTGCGATTTACAGCACCTGCGCATGCGCAGAGACGGTTTTCGGTGCCACGGAAGCGAGTCCCCACGCCGTGCTGCACTCAGTTCGGGGGCAACTCGTGGGGTGGTCAAATGACCTTTGCGAGCCGCTTCTGACCCATGGACCTTAGGTTGCTGACCCCTGCACTATGCCTTTAAAACAACAACAACAACACCTTTATTGTCCCCTGCACTATACGTTTAAAACACACTCAAAGCACATTTCCACCCTCAAAGAATTCTGGGTGCTGTAGTTTATCCCTCACAGAGAAAGAGGAGTTACTATTTTATTGGCTACCCTTTGCCCCGAGGTCCCAGTGTGGGTTGAGTGCTACAAAAATTTAAAATACAACACTTTCAATTCCCAGCCGCCCTTTGTTGTTTAGTCGTGTCCAACTCTTCGTGACCCCCTGGACCCGAGCACGCCAGGCCCTCCTGTCTTCCACTGCCTCCCGCAGTTTGGTCAGACTCATGTTCGTAGCTTCGAGAACACTGTCCAACCATCTCGTCCTCTGTCGTCCCCTTCTCCTTGTGCCCTCCATCTTTCCCAACATCAGGGTCTTTTGCAGGGAGTCTTCTCTTCTCATGAGGTGGCCAAAGTATTGGAGCCTCAGCTTCAGGATCTGTCCCTCCAGTGAGCACTCAGGGCTGATTTCCTCCAGAATGGAGAGGTTTGATCTTCTTGCAGTCCATGGGACTCCCAAGAGTCTCCTCCAGCACCAGAATTCAAAAGCATCCATTCTTCGGCAATCAGCCTTCTTTATGGTCCAGCTCTCACTTCCATACATCACTACTGGGAAAACCATAGCTTTAACTATACGGACCTTTGTCGGCAAGGTGATGTCTCTGCTTTTTAAGATGCTGTCTAGGTTTGTCCAGCCGCCCTTAACAAACTGCAAACTCATGCCATTTGTAGGCTTTTGGATTTGTTTATTTATCTGCCGCCTGTTTGAGAGGTCCAGCTGTTTAATCCCTTTGAACAATTTAAATCTGT